CTCCCTTTATTGCTCAAGACTGTGTGCGTGTCCAAGAATGTGTGTTTGTATCCCCAACTTGTGATGGATTCAGTCCTCTTGGGGGAACTTTAGAGAGAGTTTAAAGCGCACCCTGCAACACGAGCGCTTCGCCGTGTGACGTTTTCGTGGCTTCGTGGATAGACACCCGGCCGCCGCCGCGCTCTCAGCTGCAGACCTGGCATCGCGCCCTGTGTTTTGCAGCGCTAGCCGGCAGATTGATCCGGCTTTAATGAAGAGTCCTTCAGCCTAGGTGACATCATTAGCTGCTTGTGGGCCACTGCGGGCCACTTGGCACGGCTCCTCACTTCACTTCTGGGAAAATAGGTCATTGTGAGTGACAGACAGACAACGTCCAAGGGAGCTGGCCAGCAAACTAGAAAGAGGGGGTATGCAAGGCAGCAGCATGGTGATGCCCTTCAGACACCTGTGACTGTGGTCACAAAACATTCATCTCTCTGCTTAAAGTACTTCTAAAGAACCACCGACACTTTTAGAGAGAAGTTTTTACTAAGCACGAAAACGTCTGGGAACTTTCGAGACCTGATACTGCTTGTTAAGAATTTCAGCTGACAGTGACGATAGTGATGCCACTTCTTATCTATGACTAATATCTGCTTTGTCCTTCACCTGAGTTCCTTGGTCTTATAGTTATTGGTCAGTCCAATGAGTACATTCAGACAAATCCTTACTATACTGCAAACTTGTTGAGAGCATGAAAGAACATTTCTAATATGCAATATTTGAAAGCTGCATTTTATACATCTCCTGCAAATCTCCGGCATAATTTAAGCCCTGTATTACAGGATGTGAAGCATTAACTAAAATAAGTACATAAAACAGGCATCAGTGATACTGGACACTGCTGTGACACTGATGGAGGTGGAGGTGGGTTGCAAAGCGATCAGCATATTGATGAGCTAAAGCATCATCAGCCGGCTGCGTTAAGTCTGTCTAACACTGATCCTCCAGGATTGTAGGCTGAGCCTGACTTCATGGCCTGTATGACCTGATAATAAGATCTATTAAAATCTAAGTTCATACCCTCATCACATAATTTCTGCTCGCCTTCCTCTGGATGAGACTGGGGTCGACTTGGGGGCAGCTGACCTCTGCATTGGCAGTAATTTAATACATGTGACCTCACATCAAAGCCAAGAAATCAAGACATTAAGGCTTCAAGTATCTCCTTTAATTAAAACTGTGTCTTGAAATTTGACATATTTTCCACACAGGAAAGCTGCACAGTGACTGAAAATGCTCCACCTTTGTGGGCCTATAAGGTATGTGAAAAAAAGCATCAGGATGTATTTGTAAGTAAAAGTTGGCCCCAATCTGCGATATCTGAGTGCACTGAACAGAGGCAGAGACTAAGTAAAAGTCAAGGAAATGTGCTTTAGAGCAAAGCTGCACCACAGAAGGCTGCAGAGCCGTATCATCCATCTAACTGTCAGCATCTCACCAGGCTAAAATCACCATGCCTTCATGTCTGTCACTGCCCTCTCTTCCTCACTTCTGCCCTGTATCAACCCCCCCCCCCCCCCCCCCCCCCCCATTCATAAACACACAAACAAACACAATAGCTGCACGCTGTAATTTTCACACAGCAGCTGTTTTTGCCTGCCATAAAAGTGACATCCCTCTTGCTCTTCTCTTTCCTCTCTCTCCTTCTTTTCTTCTTTTTTTACCTCTCCATCCCTCCGTGCCGTGGCCATCCATTCGTCCATATATACTTTATGTTCCTCCCAAGCTGCTGATTTTCCCTGGCCTAGCGTTTCCACGCTGCCTGCGGCTCAACGTGTTTGAGCCTGTGTGCTGCGCTCAGATGTGTGTATGTGCAGATGATGTGCCGATGCTGAACTTTGCATGAACCATTATGCATATGCTCCAAGTTTAGGGGCAGTATTTTAAGTTGCAGACTGACAAGCAAGAGGAACAGGAAGCAGCGTGACTTCACTGCTTATGGTTAAGAATAGAAAACAATTTCCATCTGGTTTTGTTTGGTGATCAACAAGTCAGAACTGATTTTTATTGATTTTGTCTATGCAACTTTTTAAGCGCTGCTAAACTGCACCGAGCTTTAGAAGGGTCCATGAGTGAGCTTTTAAAAATCCAGGTGGGGTCTCACTGATTTCTTGTAACCAATAGGATTACTGCTTTACGACTGCCCCCCCTCCCGCTTCACTTTCAGTTAACAATCCCCCAGATGCCTAATTGTTTCTCTAATGATGCTGGGCCTAATGGGACTGTTTATGGTATTCATTTGATAGCTCTGGCCCAGTAATTAGACTGCACCTCACTTCATTAAACAGCAGGGAGGAGGGACTGGGCCTGGTGGCACATACAGTATGTGTGCATGCAGTAGAGAAAAAAGTGAATTTTAAAACACAGGCCGGATGACACACACACACACACACACACACACACACAC